GTAAGAAGGTTTTAAGAGGTGTCGGTATGTAGTCCACCACTAGCAACTGAAGTTTGAATTCCCTCTCAAGAATATGCTCCAAGTCCTCCAGGAATGTGAAGCTTACATAGGAACTCTTGGTGACATTTTGTGGTGAGCACACTGCTGCAGGTCCAGGGGGAAGATGGTAATGATCTTGCACAACTTCAGTAGCTCTGAGTCCATAACCAGAGCATCAGCCACTGTTACTGCTCTGCAACCAATAGCTGATTATATTGCTGAGCAGAGGACAATAGCTACCTGCAGCTGCAGGGGCTGGACAATTTTTCTTCACCTAGCCAAAGCCAGTAAAGAAGTGTATGCAATAGCCAAAGTCAAGTCACCAAAGTTCAATTTTTTCTTTTCAGTTGTCTTTGTTTTGACTCAAGCTCTTTTATATTATGCCTCGAATAGATACAAGTTTTGGAGGTTTTAGTCCACATCTGTTGCGACAAACTGCAGTAAAATCAGCTGTTTCCTAAGAGGTAGCACTATATGACTGTACATTTCAGTGCTGCCATGCATGCCAGGGTGCTTGTGCTTATTGGCTGACAAGGGTGCTCAGAAGCATCATTCACTTAAGACTTTGCTGTGCATCACATCCTAGTGGGAGTGCTTGCAGCCAGCTGGAATCTGTTCTCAGTGACTGCCTGTCAAGCTTCTCCAAACCCTTCTCCCTCCACAGTGACCATGGCTAACCAAATGTCTGTCCACCCACTGAGCCAAAGCAGTTCAGAGAGGAGCATTACAGTGTCTGTGTGCAGGCTCTGCTGGATACAAAGAGGATAGAGGGAGATGAATTCCACAAAATAGCAAATGTTTTTCATCTTACTCCAGTAATTCAGCACAGGCTTATTCTTTGGGTTGCTGAACCCAAGACTTTGTTTTGTCCTTTTCTGGAAGGGGATTTGAATGCTTCCCTGCTAAGACTGCTATGCAGATTAATCTGAAACATAGGAATTATTACAAGCATTTGGTCTCAAATTCCCTTTGCTCAGTTTCACTGGACCACTCTGACTATGTCACCCTCTGTAAATACCCCTCTCCCTTTTTAAGCCTGTCTGGTTTGATCATTTAGGGCCCCATTACTGTTCCATAAGTTGAGACTTGCAGCTGTCCTTCCCATTCATGACTGCCTGGATGAGCTATTCAGTCAGCTATCTGGCTACTGATTCATAGTCAAGAATACTGGTTTTAACTTTCCAGGGGAACAGATCATTTTAGAAGTTGTTCTGCACCCCAAAAAATACTTCCATCTGTTTATATATTTCACAGAATGGCATGTCTGTTCTTGCTGCTTTTTCACAGTAATAGTTCAGGCGTTCAAGCACTTAACACTGCCTCGTGGTTGAACAGCAATGAGAAACACTATTGGTAACCAGAAGACCTGAGAGCAGCAAGCAAGTACAGCTGCCCCACCTGTGAGTGATCCAGAGCCACAGCCACTTGTCCCTTGAGCCTGGCTGAAAAGATGCCTTTTCAAAAGCAGTATTTCTTTCTGACTGAGCTGTGAAACACAGGTCCTGACTGGCTACAGCCATGAAAAATCCCATGGCTCACCAAGTACCAGTGACTGAAGTCGTAGCAAATTTGAGAAGTCTTATCACTGCTTTCTGCTGCCTTAAACATAATTTTCATTTATATTCCTTTTTAACCATCTTAGCTTAACTGCTGGGGAGTCCCACTGTCAGGATTAAACAGATGTTTTATTTCCTGCCAAAGGTGGGTGAAATAATAATCACCAGCTCTGCCTCATTGACTGCCATGTAGTCTGGAAAGGTGCCATATGCCCAGCACTCAGGGACTGCTGCAGGCAGAAGGCTGAGGGCATGATTTATTATTTGCCTAATCAATTTAAATGCTGTCCTTCTTTCAGAAAGCACATTTCTAGTCTTCATAAGGAGATATGTACAGGACTTATCAAGCACTCTCCTCCAGTGAAGTGCACCTTTCTGTTTAAACAGCCCATGTTGTCCCCCTTGCACAGCACATGGGGCTAGACACAGACCTTGCTCTTGGAACTGCAGTGTGCTTATGAGCTGCTCTCAGCAGCACTATCAGGTGTAGAGGTCCTTCAAGTTCAGCACCATGTGCAGGAACATCAGTTTCTATTACTCTCAATACTTGCCAAGAGTTGTCCTCGAGAAGAGTGTGGTACCTCTCCTCCAGCACACAAATGCTGTGAGTGCGGGCAAGCTCCTTGTTGCTAACCTGCCTCTTGAAAACTTCTGCTGTGCCTTCCCAGTGCCAGGATGTGGTGGTTCAGGTGTCAGGCAATGTCTCCAGCCCTCATTTTCCACAGGAGCTGCAGGGCTCTGAGGGAGAGCCCGGGCTGCGGCTGACGTGGCAGTGATCAGGGTGTGCAGAGCACACCATGCAGTGGATGTGGGCGGTGACTTCTGCTCCTTTCCTGGAAAGTCCAAGGAGAAGTAGTTAAAAAAGCATGGGGCACTCCTCGTGGGAGGATGACAAATGAGAAATCCTAGGCAAGAGGTGACAGTAGGATCCCTCTGCTCTGTGGACTAGCCAGAGTGCCACAAGCAGAGATTAGCAAGGAGAAAGCCATCTGGCTTCTGTCCTTTAGCAGCCCTTTCAGCACCTCTCTTCCTATACACCACAAGAAATCTCCCTGTGTTTTTAGCAACCCTTTCTAGCCTTTCTCAATCATACTACAAGGCCATCTACAGATGACATAGACACTAAGGTGTGAAGAGAGAGGAAGATGATATAGCAGACAAGAATCTAAGATGCTTCAGACCTTTATCCAGAAATATTACCCCTGTAGCCCTGGTTATGGCAGCAACCACCAAGGCAGGAAGTCCTTTAGAGCAGAAGCTAGTCATGTACTTACTTATTGAGGGATGGTGTTGAGCTGTCAGAGGCAGAAGTTTGTAGGCTGACAGGCATTGTAAGGACAGGAACAAAGGCTGGTGCGAGTACTTCTGCAGCCTGAGAGACTGGGGAGCAGCCTGTGCTGAGCTCCAGCAGTGTGAATGTGCAGGTGAGGCTGCACAGCCATGCTCCTGTGGGAGTGACTCTGACAGGGTCCAAGGAGCATTGGAAAAATATTTGGTTCAGTTCCTCAAAGTTCTTAATATTTCACCCCGAATTCCTCAAAGTCTTCCTATGCCTTTATGATATGTACTTCTAGGCTAAAAATATTCAAAAGCACAATGCAATCCATAAGTACATTATTTTTGTTACTTTTTTTTTTTTCAGTTAGGAATGAAAACAGTCAGGAACTGGGTTAGGAACAGTAAGTTTTTTGTCATGATTAAGCAGTTAGTGCCCAGAGAGCAAGTGTGGGTTTGGGTTGTGGGGTGTTTTTTTTGTCTTCTCTCTGAATAGGTGTTACTGGTAAGATGGGTAAAAAAATCTGTTTCAAATGAAAATGCAACCTTGAAACAAAGGTAATTGTTTCACAAATTCAGTCATTCCCAGGACCCAGCATGTTTTTGGCCATACACAGCCTTCCAGTTGGTTTCTATTTTCTTAGCAGTTGTAGTTGCTCTCTTTAAGCATTTTACCCACATACTGTTTATATGTACAAAACCATCTCCTATTGTCAGACTTCTGAGCCTGAGTAAAGCAGTGTCACTGCCTGGGACCATGCTGAGTCTATTCCCTGTTTCATGTGAACACCTATTTACCTGAGGGCATAAACAGTGTTGTGAAATAGCTTCTCATGTGTTTTTCTTACTTACTGTTCTAGCTTTTAGCATCATAGTTGCTAAAACTTGACTGATGCCCAGTAAATGTTAATACTGAAGTGCTCTTGAGCTGCTAAAAAATGGCAACTTATCTTTACAAGTTTTGATGTTTCTTAAAGAAGTTGCACTGTTCCTCTGAGCTAGCTTTAGTTCCAGATTCTGTCTCCAAATTGTGTAAGCACTGCCTGATGGTATATGCACAGCTCTGAGATCATATAATGGGTACAAATGCCAGGATGGAAAGGTTAAAATCTTCCGTTTGGTTTAAAGACTATTTTGAAGACTCACTAAACAGAATTTCAGGGGAAATTACTTGAAGGCCAAGGGCGAGATGCTAGCACATTGGTCACTGCTAAGCCTTAGCTACCGAACTGCCTGTGTGCTCTCTCTGTACAGGACCAAGAACTGAAAGCTACTTCTCCTGCACCAGGTGAGAATGTAGTGGTGTTTGCTGAAGAGTTGGCCTTTGTGTCTCTCATTTAGGAGCAAGAACACTGATTTGAACTGGCTGTTCATGAGAGCTGCCAGCAGAGGATGTTGGCTCAGGCATTGCCAGGGCTGGGAAGAGATCTCTTCAGGGAGCAGGACCTGGGCAGTGCTGTCATGTCCTTTTCTGCACAGCGAAGGGTCCAGATGAGTCACACCTCAGTGACTCCCATTACATGCAGTGCCTCTCATCAAACAAAGCTCATAGCTCTGCATTGTTTTTTCTAATACTGTAACCATTCACTTCAAGCTTCTCTTACTTAACTAGCAAGCCTATGTTGACTACAGGTTTTGTGGCTTGAGTTCACTTATGTTTCCTTTATTTTTTTAGCTTCAGTTGGGGTTTCATAGCTCATCTAAGCTGCAAGGGCCATGAACAAAGTACATGAATATGCAGCCACTTGCTGGCTGCTCAGCAAACAGCTCTCAGACAAGAGGATTGTTATTAAAACCGGTTGTTTTGTTGGCAGAATAGGCTTTCCCCGTTGCCATGGGCTGCCCAAGGTGAGCCTGACCTCTGTGGTCTCTGACGCTCTCTCTTGTGGGTGAGCTGAGCAATGCTGGAATGCAGCTTTTAACATGGATTAACTGTGAACCTAACACAGAAAACAGTTCAGAGAGAGTGAAAATACTACACTGCACAACTAAGGATGAAACATAACTTTTGCTCCCATGGGATAAAAGTTCTGAGGCTGAAAATGTGATTATTTGATAGGACCACAGTCATCCTGTCAGTGCACAGTAATGTTTGCAGCCTTCTCTTAAGACAGAATTTTTTCTTTCCAGGTGCACAGAAGGGCAGTGGAGAGGCCGACGTGGCCAGTGGGCAGAGATGGGACTGCACCCTCCTGATGTGAGTGAAGTAACAACACCGTGCATCCCTCACCCTTTCCACCCAGAGCAGGTCTCCACAGGCTGGGTCTGTCACCTTTGAACTCTTTGGTCTTGATGCAGTTTCACATGCCCCATGGTACAAACCCAGCACTTTGATACTAACTTCAACTGAAATACTGTGCACAGGCTGTTCCTAAGGAACACCAGTCATCCACCAAGAGAAATTCTGAATTGCTAACTGCAGCCTGGCAACGTAATGTATTCACAAGGCCAAAGGATAAACAGGAATTGAGGTTTCTGGAAAAGGATGTATTTGTTCCTTGCTCAGCTCACTAGCTCTCTAGCCACCATCTGCAAACCTCCTGCTCTGTAAAATGGCAGATTACTATCCTCTAATTCTTTTGCCAGGGCTGCAGGGCAGAACTGCTAGAGATTCACCTGAGCTTAGTGAAGTTTTCTCTTTGATTGAGGCTGTGGGTTTTTTTGAGAATCAGTTCTTGCACCTTAAGTAGTTCACTTTACAACAGTGCTCTGGCAGGTGTTGTCTCCCTGTTACACCACAGCTAAAAGATCAGTTTCTACCACAGCTGTTAGACAAAAACTAGTTTGAGGATTTTTGTTTTCTCAGCTAAACTACCATTTCTGAGCTAGAGTTATTACTAGAAGGCACAGCAGTGCAAGACACTGCAACGGATTCTGGGTGTCTAAACCCAAGTGATGAACCACAAAAACTGAGCTTGGTGCCAGTGGGGCCTCCATGTGAGGGAGTGATTGTGACCACATTTGACTAGTACAGACAAGGCCTGTGTATAACTGAGGAAGACAGGGTGCCAGGATCAAACATCCCTGATCCTTACCCTGCTGCCTTCACCTAATTCCATAATCAGTACTTCCATCACGGAGAGGTTGGAAATATTATCCAGGCCTCTCCTGCAGCATTACAGTATCTCAAACAAGTCCCTGCCTGTACGGATCTGCTCTCTTCAAAACAAACTTTCACCCAGCCCGGTGATTAGCTTGGCTTAAGTCAGCACAACCCTGGAATTTAGAAATAGCTTAGGCTCAGCCCATTTCTGCCTGCAGATCAGTTGGGGTTACAGTTCTCAAGCGGCACCATTCAGCACCCAGCTGGCATCCATTTGCCTGCAGTTGCTGCTGCGGGGGGCGGGAACAAACCACCCGACACCCTCGTGGCTGTCTCATCCTGCGAATTCAGCCAAGAGAAACCAGTGCTCGCCATCTCGTGGCCCTGCACAGCTATTTCCCGGGAGCGAACGGAGCTCCAAGTGCGACAGGGAGGCTGAATGTGGCCAAGATTCAGAAGATGGCTGCGAGGGCTCAGAAACAGCCCTGACCCCAGAACAGGGGTGAAACCTTCACCCTTAGCGCTTTGTCCACACTCCTGCCCTGCCCCTGCAGCCTGAGCAGCTGTTTCTCAGAGCAGCAGCAGAGCCTCAAGCTGCAAAAGGCACCTCTTGAGCCTGTCTCACACAAACACCACTGCCCCCAGAGCAGCCTTTGGTGGAGCAGGAAATTACCTTATTCGTTTTACAGCATCTCATAGACGTTAATCATTCTTAATTACATGCAAAGCTGGGGATGTTCATGGTACATCTGTCTTCATCTGCTGTCAGCACTTGTTAAAGAACTCCATGTGTCAATGCTTTAAATAAAGCTAATGTGCCTGTTCGTAACTGTTCATTAACAGCTGAATACGTGAACTCATGGAAATAAGGTTACCATTTACTGTCAGGCCCTTCGTGTATATTAACTTCCTATCCCTCCTCACTCTCATTTTTTTTTCTGGGAAAAACAAGTAATTAAGAGACTGGCCAGAAATGATAAAGGTACAATTTCACTAAATCTTGTTGAGGGAATTTAAAAAAAATAGTGATAGAGTGCAATAATATGACTACAAGGTCTTCACTTCTATTTTAAGCAGTAAGTTTTTGACTCCTCTATGTTTATGACTTTGTAGCTGGGAGATTACAGCCTCAATCTGCACCACTGCATCATCTCCAAATTTGAAGTCGCATTATCTTTAGCAGAATTGCTGATAGCTATGAGAGTAGTGGATGTAAGGCAGTGTTGCCATCAAAAGGCTGGATATATAGTCAGCAACAAGGCACCTTAAAATAGCTAGCCAAAGTGCAGGACTTCAGCTTACAAGACCTATAGAAGTTTGCAGCTTGCTGGTGGAAAGTACAAAATCATGCCAGATGAGTTCACATGTTACTCCCAGAGACATTGTGCCATACTGTCACAACAAAACAACTACTCAAGGATCCTAGTTCAAAGCATCTGATCACAATCAGCAATTGCTCTATATTGGGTATGTGACAAAACTTCTGTATCTACTGTTCCTGAGTTGGAAATGTGTAAAATAGTTGCAGAAAAGACTGTAAGACCTGTGAGGTTCTGTGAAGCTTGATACTAATACACTTTGTATAGAGGAAAGAAAAGAGGGAACATCCTTCTTCTCATGTCAAGGTTTAATTCTGAGGTATGTGACACTGGATTTACAAGAAAAATAAAAAATACATTCGGAGGAACAGCAAGTGCCCTACTTAGCAAGGCAGAGGGATTTCACACTCCAAGCAGCTGAGAAAAGAAACCACTCACAGTATGAAGTATCTGGGGTCTGTCTTTGACACAGGCTTTTGCCATAACCAGTAGTGAGGAATGAGCAGTAGTGGTGCACAGGTAAAAATGAGACAGGACAACAGGTATTAGATAAGGCTTCCACTTGAACTAATTGTTTGAGATATTACTATTATGCTATGAATATGATCAGCAGGTTAGATGAAACTACTATTCCAAACACTAAGCAGGCAAACTACATTGCCAAGATGAATTACACAGCTGCTGAGACAGACTTTAGCTCCAGCCTGCTGATGATATGGCTAAAGTTTGCATATGCTTGTAGCACACACAGATAAATGAAATTCCAGTAATATAGAAGGATTAGAGTGGTACAGAAGAGTTTTCCACAGCTACTGCACCCCATGCCAGGAGCAAAGGTTGTGAGCTGGAGTACAGTGCACACAGCAGTTCATACAAGTGTATCATCTAATCTACAATTTTCATCCTAAATATCAATTTAAAAAGCCAAGCATGAATCATATGCAGTCAGATTTCATGACTCACTGCTGCAATGGATTTAACCTCAGATGCTGATCCTGCCTGCCATAAGGTGTCTGGCATTCCCTCTTGGACCCATTCATCTGGAGAGGAGCCGTTCACAGATTGGTGCTAGAGAGCTGAGTCGAAAACAGTTAAATTAAGACTTTAAGCATCAAAAAAAAATAAATGTGCTATTTTGTCACACAAAGAATAAAATTCCAGGAATTTATTGCTGTATGTATGCTTAATCCATTAATTTGTCTTACATGAAGTGCCAAAGTGTGTGCTACATTTAACATTCCATGTATTCCCTTCCAAATGCTGTTTTACAGTGGGCGAATGAAACAACGCAGCAGCAGTCACAAAACACGGCCTGAGCATCTCCCAAGAGCTGAAAGATTTGTGTACAAGCTGAATAACGAGATGTCAGTTAACAGGTCACTCAGCAACTTTAATAGGTGGAAGTTTTGCAGCGTTAAGATTTACAACTCAGACTGAACTCGTCCCCACTGCAGTAACAAGATACTGGCAAAGAACAAGAGCTGTGGTACGTAAATGTCACACACAAGACCTGCTTCAGTTCTAGCAGAAGCAATAACTGCTAAATGTAAGCAAGGACAAGCCCAGGGGGTAAGGCTGTCAGCCTGTATTAAAAACATACACCTCCGAGTTTGGCAGTGGAATTGTTTACCACCTTGACTTTGTTTTTTGGTAACATAACAAGTACTCTTCTTCCCCTCCCACACTTTATAAATCCCCTTTTATTTTTATTATACCTCCATATTATTTACAGGACTCCTAAAGATTAAGTACAAACTAGTATGAAATTAATGATAGCTTGCTTTTCAAATATGTATCCCATGGCTAAATAAATACCAAGCCAATCCAACAGACTGATCTGGAGTTATGATTCAGAAGCTTGTGTATCTGTGACTCCAGCTGTTTTCTCATTAGCTGTGGAGGATTCATTTGATCTGTCAACAATAGTTGCCACAGAAGTTGGAGTAGCACTATCCAAGGTGAGTGCAGAGGTCTGTTCTACGTTTACAGTAGTGCCAGGGTTGATGGGAAAGCTTCCAGCTTGAGTAATAGAGGGAAGCAGATCTGTAGGCACTGTAGATGCCTCTGTGACCAAAGGAAGCACAGGAACACATTTGGGTGGCATTGATAGAGGAGTCATTCCCATTAGGTTCAGAGGCGGCAAGGAGGGAAGGGGTGGCAAACCTGAACAGAAAGAGGGGAAAAAAAAAGGCAGTGAGCTGCTGCATACCACAGACAGACCTGCAGAGGCTCTGTTTGCTTAGAAATTTTACCTTCTCTAATCTTCTATTTGCTCTGGGAGAGGAGGAAGCTTTTTGCACTTAGTGTGAGCATGGCTGACATACAGCACTGACTCAGCAGCCAGTTTCAAGCCTGATGCTTTTCAGATTTCAGAACTGAAGAATCAGAGTAAATTCAAGGTTGCTTGTACCTCCCCCCAGAGGACTACATATTTTATGCATTAATACTGATGATTGGCTTTTTTCTGGCCTTCACTGAAAGTGCCAGAAACAAGACGTTAACAAGGGCTGTATTCCATATAAGCTTTCAATTTCTTTTTGCTTACTCCACGTGCACCTTCAGCAGTTTTGTTTTATTCCAAACCATAAACTGAGTATTAGTTCATACTTCTGGCAGTCAGGGAGCTTCAATCTCCTCATCTAGCATCATCCTCTTTTCTTCTACCCATAAAACAATATACTTTCACTTATCTCAGACGATAAATCAGGTAATATAAGATGAAACATCTAAATACAGACAAGGGTTTAGAATTAGTATATCTAAAGACATATTCCTTGTCTGCTGCATCTGGGCACCAACATCCACTCCCATCTCAGGCAAACATTTAATTTATCCCCTT